GGGCCAGCAGGGAGGGGAGCAGGTGCAGGGGGGCGGGGGAGCAAGCCATCTGCATGGACAACCAGCGAGTGTCCATCCTGGCGCTGACCTGTAAGCTGACGGCGGAGATCGGAGAGCCAGGCGACGAAGTCAACCGTGTGGCCCTCAGCGTCCAGGCGGAGCACGAAGTCAGCCATCGTACAGGGTCAGTGACACAGCTCCTCAGCGACACAGCGGCACAGCTCCACAGCTCTGCAGGAGCACAGCGGCACGGGGACACGGCGGCAGCACTCTCCAGTAGGGCGGCTGCAGGGCGCCCCGGCGCGGGCTAGCAGAGGACACGGGGCCCGAGGTGGCACGGCAGGCCGAGCAGGCACGAGGAGGGGCCAGGCGGGCAGGAGGAGGGGCCGGGCTGGCGCTGAAAACCGGGCAGGCGTGACATGGCCGGGCTGGCGCTAGGAGGGGCCGAGCGGGCGCACTGGGACTGGCGGGCGGTAGGAGAGGCCGGGCGGCGCTAGGAAGAGGCCGGGCAGGTGCTGCTGGGGCCGGCTAGGAGCGGGCTCGACGGTCAGTGGGCCGGCCAGGAGCGGGCGCGACGGCCAGTGGGGCCAGCTAGGAGCGGGCGCGACGGCCAGTGGGGCCAGCTAGGGGCGGGCGCGACGGCCAGGGGGCTGGCTAGGAGCGGGCGCGAACGGCTAGGGGGTCAGCTGAGGGCGGACGCGACGGCCAGGGGGCCAGCTAGGGGCGGACGCGACGGCCAGGGGGCTGACTAGGGGCGGACGCGACAGCCAGGGGGCCAGCTGAGGGTGGACGCGACGGCCAGGGGGCCGACTAGGGGTGGACGCGACGGTCAAGAGGCCGACTAGGACCGAACGCGACGGCCAGGGGGCCGGCTAGGGGCGGACGCGACGGCCAGGGGGCCGACTAGGGGCGGACGCGACGGCCAGGGGGCCAGCTAGGGGCGAACGCGACGGCCAGGGGGCCGGCTAGGGGCGGACGCGACGGCCAGGGGGCCGGCTAGGGGCGGACGGGACGGTCAAGGGGCCGACTAGGGGCGAACGCGACGGCCAGGGGGCCGACTAGGGGCGGACGCGAGGACCAGGGGGCCGACTAGGGGCGGACGCGACGGCCAGGGGGCCAGCTAGGGGCGAACGCGACGGCCAGGGGGCCGACTAGGGGCGGACGCGACGGCCAGGGGGCCGGCTAAGGGCGGACGCGACGGCCAGGGAGCCGACTAGGGGCGGACGCGATGGCCAGGCCAGGGGGCCAGCTAAGGGCGGGCGAGAGACTAGGGCGCGGGCGGAAGCGGGTGGGAGGACCTAACCTACTCGATACCATGTTAGAATACGTGAATGATTACTAGAAGGAGAAACCTAGAACATATACCTGTTGGGTTGTACTCACTAGAAGCACACACCTAGTCTAGCCTATAACTTCTACATAGAACATATGTATAAGTTGACACTAGCTACCATTCATTCTACTCTTAACCTTACTAGTCAGCTCTTCTGACACTATGTACCTATCTACAAGCATCTACAAGCATCTACCGGCATCTACAAACACAAACGCAAAGACTCAAATACTGCAACCTTCTGTCCACGCTCCTCACTTTTCAGCCTCTAGCAGCATCCCCTTGTGCAAACGCAACGTGCCACTCAGTCATAGGGGACTTGGGCGGTCGGGATGGCACATCGTACGCATCACCACCTCTTGACCCCCCAAACCCTCCATATCCCCTACTTTCGGAGCTTGTGTGCGGTCGAGGCACCGTGGTGGTAGTACTGCTCGGCCGTTGGGCTTGTGCGACAAGCTCTTGGCAAAGACATGTTTCCTTAAATCCGGTGACATGGCTTCAACAACTGCTGTCCTCTTCGTGGCTGGGTCATCGTACGACACGCTGCGGCCAATTCTGGAGCGCGAGGAAGCATTAGAGGCATGGGAAGCGTGGGAAACGTGGGAATCATGGGAGGCATGGGAAGCATGGGAGGCATGGGAAGCGTGAGAGGCATGGGAAGCATGGGAGGCATGGGAAGCATGGGAGGCATGGGAAGCGTGGGAGGCATGTGGCTGCATGATGTGGTCCTGGTGCAGCCAAGGCAGCTCGCCCGCCACATCCCCCTGCTGCTGCTCGCCCCAGTTACCCCACCCATGCGCACCGTGAGCGCTCTGACCACCCTGGGAGCCACGGGCACTGGCTTCAGTGCCAGTGGGTGAGGAGAACACATCCCGGACGCTGCGGCTCCACAGGTGCTTGAGGGGAGGAATGTGGGAGGAGAGGCTCCACCGGCGAGTGATCTCAGGCAGGTGCTCGGAAGGAGAGATCGGGCTTGCAGCACCACGAGCACCACCGGGGGACAAGCCGCTTCGGTCACGGTCACACCCCCCTCTGCTTGAATCCCGGTCATACCCCCCTCTGCTTGAATCACGGTCATACCCCCCTCTGCTTGAATCACGGGCATACCCGTCTTGTCCTGATTCCAAGCTGTGGGGGTCGGTTCTTGACCGAGCCAGCGGTGGGGTGAAGGGCTGCCTGCCGCCATGCCCCGCCTCGTAATGCTCCTGGCTCTCCTCCTCTTCCCCCCACCCCTCCCCATGCACCACCAACCTCTCCGGTCTGCGGCCCTTCACCATGCCATAGCAGCCAACAGCAGTGTTTTCGTAAGCAGCAGCAGTATCGTCCCTGTCACGAGATGGAGCAAAGCCCTTATTACTGCCACCAGAACCACCAGCAGCAGCCTTGCCCTGCCAGCCCAGGCTGTGCGCCTTGGTGATGTGCTGCTGCTGCTTGTCACCGCCCTCCTTCACGGACCGGCTGCGCCGCATCAACGGCCCACTGTGGAAGATGGCGTCCAGCCCGCCCCACGCAGCCTGGCTGCTCTTGTTGGGGTTGGGAGTGGCAGAGGTAGGTGTGGTGGAGGTGGGTGTGGCGGAGGTGGGTGTGGAGGTGCTACTTTTCCTGCTAAAAGACGAACTGAATCCGAACAGCCCACTGTTCCACAGGTGATTTGTGTCTGATTTGCTTCTCACCGCGCGGTTCAGGTCGTTAGGGCTGTCACTTTCGCCACTCTCGCCAGTGTAACTGCAGTTTGCGAATGCCAGCTCGCCAGCCAAATCGCTTTTCCCGTTAGAGCTTGCATAAGCGGAACCAACCCTACCAAACGAGAGACTTTGCCATTCGCCGGTACGCTCAGAAACGAGGAGGTTACTGTACTCCACGTTCTGCGACCCTAATCCCTCACCGCCGTTACCACTGCTAGCCCGCGCGAAGCTACGAGTGCTATCCGCAGTCACCCAACTGTTCTTGCTGTCACTCGTAGCACCGCTGCCAGGGCTGCTCCACGTGGCACCCCACACGAGAGCACGCGCGGAAGCGCCGGTCACAGGCAGGGCTCCCGGCCAAACAAGCGGCCGCACGTCCCTGCGCCTGGCGACGCTGCTGTCACTCTCCGCGCGCCGTAACTCCATCGCCCCCCAGCGCTCGCTCCCCTCCTCCTCGTCGCCTCCCGCGAGCGTCACGAAATAGTCGCCCTTGGCTGCGTCGCCCTCCGTGCGATCGCCACCGCCTTCGTCTAGCCCGTCCTCTGTCGAATCTCGCGAGGCCCCGTCGTCACCTAACCCGTCCTCTCTCAGTTGTCGCGAGGCACCGTCGTCCGGCCCTTCGTCTCGCGGCTCCGCGTCGTGCAGTGCTTCCCGCGCCCGCGCCGGCTTGCGTCTCGAAAGCCCGCGAGTCGGCACGAGGCCCGCCGCCGCCTTGGCGGCAGCACCAGCGGAAGCGGCGACGGACAGCCGGCCCCTCGGGCTCGCCGCTTTTCCCCCCACTGGTGTCGGGCCCGTGCTCCCGCCACCTCTCCACCCGCTCGTGCCGTTCCTCCCGCCGCCAAACCCCCCGCTACCGCCAAACTCGCTGCTGCCGCCGAGGCCGCTGCTGCTGGCGGGTCGCGCGACGAGCTGGAGAAGGCTGCTGCTGCAGTCCAGCGCGCCCCGCTCCTTCCAGCCCTCCACGGCGCGCTCGCTCACGCGCTGCTGCCGCTGCAGGGAGGGGCGGCGGAGCGTCGCGGCGAGCAGGCTCCACGCGCTGTGCGCCTCGCGCACCACGCGCAGCGCCTTCCGCGCAGATTCCTCCCAGTCCCCCTCGTCGTCGCGCTGCGGGGATTCGGGGATCCGCCATGGGTCCGGGCCCACAGCCGTGAACCCTCCCGCGTCGGCCCACTCCGTGACTCGCGGCAGCGTCGTCGCCGCCACGGCCGCTATCTCCCCCTCCGCGACCGACGGGTCATCCGCCGCCACGACGACGAGCTTCCACGAAACTTCCGACCCCAGCCCCGGGCGCAGGCGCACGGGCAGCGCGAGCAGCGGCAGCACGGGGAACACGTCGCCGGGGTCGCGCTCCATGGCGCCCACCTCCACCGCCTCCAACGGCGCGTTATCCAGAATCACGGGAAACGCGGCGTCGGATTCGTCATAAGGGTCGCCCAAGAGGTCGCCAAAGTGGGCGCTCGAGGGGCCGCAGGGAACGGAGAGCGAGCGGAAATGGCCGCGTTTTGCTGTAACGAAGGTTTCGCGCGGGGGAAGTGCGGGGGCAGTGGGTTGAGGGGGGACGGGCGCGAGCACGCAGGTCTGCGGGATAATGCCGACGTTCCACGGGCGCTGCTCCGCGTCGTCCACGCGCACGCTGCCGTCCAGCGACAACCGGCGACGACGACCCGAGAGCGACGCGGCGAACGACGACGACTTGGACGACGTGCAGACGAAGTTGAGCGGCGCGGGGAGCTCGTCGCGGGACCAGCAGGGACTGGCGGCGGCGGGAGTGGGGGAGAAGAGGATGACGTCATGCCAGATGGAGACGACGTGGCCCGCTCGAATGAGAGGCAGGAGATTGCCCTGTGGGCGCTCCGACATGAGGCGAGGCGACTGGGCGAACACGACGTTACATCGTAGTGTAAAGCCGAACGTACTAACCTACTGATGAAGGAGAACCTGATGAGAAAAAAATGTCACAGTCCGTTCAGAAGTTTCTTGCGTTGTGCTTAGCAATGACAGCCATGGTTCATCCATGCTTGTGTCCTTCCAACCAAGGGTTGCTTTGCCTTGGTTTCTCGCCAGACGAGCATGTTACTCTATGGTAGTTGGCCCACCGCCGCAAAATGGCCAAAAGGGCGCGACGGGGCCAGGCAGGCGCGACGGGGCCAGGCAGGGCGCGACGGGGCCAGGCAGGCGCGGCGGGGCCAGGCAGGGTGCGACGGGGCCAGGCAGGCGCGGCGGGGCCAGGCAGGCGCGGCAGGGCCAGGGAGGCGCGGCGGGGCCAGGCAGGCGTGACGGGGCCAGGCAGGGCGCGACGGGGCTAGGCAGGGCGCGACGGGGCCAGGCGGGCGCGACGGAGCCAGGCAGGGCGCGACGGGGCCAAGCGGGCGCGACGGGGCCAGGGAGGGCGCGACGGGGCTAGGCAGGGCGCGACGGGGCCAGGCGGGCGCGACGGAGCCAGGCAAGGCGCGACGCGGCCGAGCGGGCGCGACGGGGCCAGGCAGGGCGCGACGGGGCTAGGCAGGGCGCGACGGGGCCAGGCGGGCGCGACGGAGCCAGGCAGGGCGCGACGGGGCCGAGCGGGCGCGACGGGGTCAGGCAGGGCGCGACGGGGCCAGGCAGGGTGCGACGGGGCCAGGCAGGGTGCGACGGGGCCAGGCGGGCGCGACGGAGCCAGGCAGGGCGCGACGGAGCCAGGCAGGGCGCGACGGGGCTAGGGTGGCGCGACGGGGCTAGGGTGGCACGACGGGGCCCAGGAGGGGGGGGGGGCGACGTGGCTAGGAGGCGCGACGGGGCTAGGAGGCGCGACGTGGCCTAGCTAGGGGACGGGCGGAAGCGGTAGGTGGGGGATGCTAACCTACGCGTGATACCATGTCAAAGTGAGAACGAATAATGACTAGAGGTGGAAACCTAGAACAAATACTAGTTGGTTGTACTCACTAGAAGCATACCTCAGTCTAGCATATAACTTCTACATAGATAATATGTATAAGTTGACACGCTAATGTACCTGTTCGTCACTATCGCGTTATGCGCCCTAGATGATAATGAAGAGGTGCGACTTATTCGCGTGACTGAAACGACTGTCCTATGACGAGCGCTATTTGCTGACGTCATCCTACGGACTTATATTCTACAGTAGGATTCGACACTAACTACACTTCATCGACTTACAGAAATGCTAAGTACTAATTATATCACAACACTCCCCTTCATTTCTGGAACGTCGATAGTGTCACTTCTTGAAGATTCCGCAGAGCTTGTTACAGTACTGAAACTTCTGTCGTGTCAGCTTCTTCGTGAGAAAATCGGCAGCCATTTCGTTGGTCGAACAGTAAACCACTCGCAACCTCCCCTTCTCGACTTCATCTTTGACGAAAAAATAGCGAAGCGAAATATGCTTCGTTCTGTTGACGAAACCAGGTTGATGTGCGATGCGAATTGCACTTTGATTATCGCACTGTAGGGTAAACTGGGTAGTTGTCGTCAACGCCGCTTCTTCCAGTAGTTCCTGTAAGTAAAGACCTTCGCGTGTTGCTGTACAGACAGCAATAAACTCAGCTTCAGCAGAGGAGAGGGCAATCAACTCCTGCTTCGTCGAATTCCAAGAGATAGGACCGATAGGTTCCAGTCGATAGATAAATCCAGTGCGCGACCGTCGATTAGTAGAATCAGCAGCGTGATCGGCATCGACAAAACCGTGTAGATAGAGTGTTTTACAGCCGATAACGTTATAGACTAATCCGACGTCAGGTGTCGAGATGAAATATTGAAGCGCGCTGAGTAGATCGAGCTGATGTTCCTCCTCAGGACGGCGTAGAAACTGAGCGAGCTGGCTAGCCGCGTAGGCTAGATCAGGACGACAAGTGACAGTTGCGAAGAGTAGACAGCCTAGTTGCTGCTGATAAATCTGTAACCCGGTTGAAGTTAACGGTGCGGTATTCGGTTTGTGGTCTGTTGGTAGTGAGCGATACGGTGTAGAAACTGTAGTAGGCATGAGGTTGAAGCGGGCAGCGAGTGTTGCTGCATACTTAGAAGCAGTGAGATGAATAGTTGTCAGTGAACTAGTCATATTCAGGCCAAGAAACTGTGAGACTGTTTCGGAGACGGTAATATGTAGATTTTCCTGTAGTTTCAGTATGAAGATGCTAGCGAGGGAATCGGTAGTACTGGCGAATAAGATGTCGTCGATGTAGGCAACGAGTAAAATGTAGTTGTTGTCGTCGGTCAGTCGATACATTCCCTGATCATGCGGTAATTGTCGAAATCCAGCATTGATCAGCTGCGAGTGAAGATACTGCTGCCAGAGCCGTGGTGCCTGTTTGATGCCGTACAAGGATTTTCGGAGACGGCAAATGCTCGGTGGGTTAGTAGTGTAGGAATGCGGGTACTCTACCAAAATAAGTGCGTCGACAGGCGCGTAGAGAAATGCATTCGAGACGTCGATTTGTCGACGTCGGAGATTACGGCAGGCGGCGACACAGAGCAGAATCCGAACGCTTGTATGTCGGCCGACAGGAGCAAAGGTTAATTCATAGTCGATGCGGTAAGTCTGCTCGAATCCGCGGACGACCCACCGTGCTTTGAACTTTTCAAACGACCCATCTGCGTTAGTCTTGACGCGGAAAACCCATTTTCCTGTGAGTATCTTTTTGCCTTTAACCTCTGAAGTAGGTACTAAATCCCATGTGCCGCGACTCTTGAGTGCTGCTAGCTCCTTATCCATGGCTTCGCGCCATTTTTCTCGGTGAGGACTCGTAAGAGCTTGTCGAACGTTTTTCGGTTCAGGTATCTTACTGTCGTTGCGCTGTACTGCTACTGCAAATCCCAGTATTTGCAATCCTGTTTCTGTAATATGCGGACGTTCTTCGTTTGCACCTGCGAAATTTTCTTCTGGTCCTTCTTCCCCCCCAATTTCGTCAGGTGTAACACGAACTGCTTCGTCGGAGACGACGGGCATCGGCTGCTGTTGGCGATCGCGTTCGTAACTAAGATGGACATCGCGAACATCAGCTGGGTCAGCGTCGGCAAGAGGAATGAACTCAGGTATGCCAGTCGAGGTTACAGGTTCGGGAATGTCAGTTGCAGCAGCTTCGGATGCTTCAGAAACTGCTTCGTCCTGTACATCAGCTTCTGCCTCGTCAGTGGCAAACGCACGCGAGCCTTCGAACAGCCTGGTGAGGTTGGCAGCTGCTGCGTGGTGGGCACGAAAAACGGGCAAGGTGAGTCTTTCATAAAAAAGACAATCACGTGATGGAACGATTTGGTTGGAGCGGAGATCCAAAATCTTCCACGCGTGATACTGTTTTTCGATACCGAGATGTACCCCCCATTTTGCTCGTTCAGAAAATTTGCCGAGAGCTGCAGTTGGAGGACGAAACTGTACAACACACCCAAAAACTCGTAAAAGTTTTGTACTCCCAACTGTACGTGTCCACTGCAGGTGCGGAGAAGAGAACTCGGGCAGGGATGTGGAAGAAAGAAGATTGTGCAACAGCACGGCGTGGTCCATCGCATACGGCCAAAAATGCGGTGGAAGGGCTGCCTGCGTCAGCAGAGCACGCATCTTCTCCTGCAGAGTTCTGTTCATCCTTTCTGCTACCCCCATCTGTTGATGTGCATGTAGCAGCGACTGCTTCCGTTTGATGCCGAGTGTCTGCAGGTATTCTGTGAAGGTGTTGCTGGTGTACTCCCCTGCACCATCGCTTTGAAATTCTTGCAGTTTTACTCCTGATTCTCGTTCAGCGACAGCGAGCCACGCGACGAAGACGGAGTGAGCGAGATGGCGCGCAGGTAAGTTGGCTGTCCAGACATAGCGTGTAGACGCTTCGATGAAAGTGATGACATACTTCTCGTCTTTAGGACCTGCTTCAGACAAATTAAGTATGTCGCTGTAGACTTTCTGCATCAGTTGATAACGTGTTGAGCCAGGAAAGTGACTTGGAAACGGATCGTGCGTAAGGTTGGCAACCGGACAGGTGGTGCAAACCGTCGGACGAGATTGCGGCTTCATCTCCGTTCCATCAGGTAAAAGTAAACTGTTTTTATCAAGAACTGCTGCTCGAATTGAATGGTTTAAAATCCCTTGTGATGGATGCCCTAACCGCTGATGCCATATATCTTCTGTGGTTTTGTGTCCTGATGATCGCAGGCAAAAATCGGAGTTAGTATAAAACGAAGAAAGTAGAAAAGGAGAAAGGGCTGGTGACTTGTCAGAGTCTCCTTCGATAAAACGGGTAAGAGGTAAAGTAACAGGCGTCGATGTGGTTAGAGGTGTAATTGCAACTACTAATGCTGCTTCTGTTGATATCGTGGCAGGTGTTTCGGCGGCAGCTACGGTTGAACTCAGCTGCACAGCTACGGCTTCTTCTTCTGCTTCGCTAATGACGTCAGGTTCATCGGCTGCAAGACCGCTTATCTCGCCCCAAAGTGGTGCTGGAGTTCCTTGGAAGGCTGCACGTGTATTATAAAAGGTTCGCCAAGCGGTGGCGCTTTCATCAGCTGTATTAAACTCCCAGGTGGTATCCAACGCGGTAAGTACGGCTGCTGCAGTTCGGGAAGTTGTTGGGACAGTTGTTGCTCGAAAATCAATGTCCACGTGTTGATAATCTGTGTCTTCAGGGTGATCCCAGGGACCAAGTGCAAGCACGCGTTCCGAGTCGCCAGAAGTTCCCTGTGCTGCAAACTGAAGGACCCACACGCCATGTTGAGTGGCGGCACGACCAAGGTAGGTATTAGTTGTACTGTGCCAGAGCTCTCGATCCATTGTGTCGCAATTTCCTTGAGTACGGATTTTGTGTGCCAGAAGTTGAGCTGTGGAAAGAAGGTTGAAACCAAGGCCGGCGACGATAAGAACATTCGTAACATGAAGTGAGTATCCCGTGTCGATAGATTCGAGCATGACACTGCCAACTGTTCGTGCCATTATCGTTTGTCCGTTTGCAACTGTTACAGGTATCGGACGACGAAGAGGACGCTGATTCGTGATGAAACTTGTTTCGGCAGAACACATATGCCATCCGCAACAGCTGTCGAGATACCAGGTATTTGGTCCTGAAATTATGCGAGCAAGGTTAGCATAAACTTGAGGTAAAGGAATGCCTTCAGCACTTGTTGTTTCTTCAAGGCGTGTTTCGAAATCTGTTTCTGAAACATCAACCGTTGTAACACATCCAAAAACGCCTTTCCCTGATTTGACAGATGCGAAGACCGGCGGGCGCTGTTGTGAAGTTGATAAACTCTGCGACGATTTCGGCATCTGCTGCTGCTGAGGAGTTAACTGCTGTTGTGGCGGATGTGTCTTAGGTGACTGCTGCGATCGGTGATACGGCTGCGAAGTGTTGCGACGGGTTTGATGACGGCTGCGACAGTTCTGGTAAGTATGGCCTGGTTTCTTACAGTAATGGCAGAATGGATATTTTGGCGGATGTCGTTGCTGTGTTTCAAGATTGGAGTAAAAACTTAAATGAACCCCCCTTTTCTGGTTGCGTTGTGACTGCAGGTCAAAATCTTGCTGCTCTGCTTGTAGATAAGAAGAAATTTCAGCTTCGGAGAGATTCGGATTCATGCGCAGGAAGGCGCGCGTCTGACGCCATTCGGGTCCAAGACCAGCCAGAAGGACCGTGAGATACATCTCACGAGGGAAGTATCCTCCGCTCTTTTCAAGTTGATCGCGTAGTGTACGGACGCGATTGACGTAGTCCATGACGTTTTCGTTTGTCATCATCTGCACACTTGTCAGCTGCGAAAGTATTTTACTCACTGTTATTGTATCCTTTGCCATGTATACCCCTTTTAAATGGTTCCATGCAGTTTCGGTTGGTGTGAAACTTGAGTGAAAAGATCGAACGCCAAGCTGCTCCTTCGGTGACAAGTTCCGTACAAGAACTGTGTACGCCCCGAGAGAGGCGTGCAAGAAACTCTGCTGCTCCAGTTGTGTTCCCACGACAGGATACGTAAACTCGCCAGTGAAGAACGGCCATAATCTAGCGGACTGCGCCAGAAGCTCAAACTCGAAGCTCCAGGAGTAGAAATCAACACCATTGAAAGATACGGTTGTCTTGATCTGAGTATTGTTAAGTAAATTTGGAGGCTGAAATACAATGCCTGGCTGTTGCTGTTGATGCTGTTGTTGCTGTTGTTGCTGTTGCTGTTGTTGCTGTTACTGTTGATGTTGTTGCTGTTGCTGTTGATGTTGCTGTTGCTGTACTTGCTGTGGTTGCTGAGCAGGAGAACGACCGAAGATATAAAAAGGATGCTGAAATTGCTGCGACTGCGGCTGCTGTACGAAAGGCGAGAAAGCGAAAGAACCAGTACTTGGAGCTGTAGATCCACGCATGTAGCTTGAGCCGTCAAGGCTCATCCCACTAAACGCAGACGAAATCGATTGTGTTGAAACTGGCGGCTGGACTGACGCTTGTTGCTGTGCTGTTGTCTATGATTGCTGCTGTTGAGTTGCAGGTGCAGTCGATGGAGCACCTGGAGTATTCACAGAAGGCGGATTCTGCATACCGATATTAGCGTAGGCTGGTGGAAAATGCCCAGAGGCTGAGAGACCAGCGGCGGTAGTGGAGGAATGTGCTCCAGTAGTCCCAGTAACTGATCCAGCAGATGGTGCTGGTGTTGGACCAGTCATAGTTGACGGTAGTCTTAATTCCAGATAGCTCTCATACCATGAAGTAAATCGTCTAGTGTTGTAGTAGACTAAGTATAAAACTATAAACACGAACACTTGGCAAATCCTCAAGTGTTGGTCCAGGATCTTTGCTGGAATGGTAGACTAGTAAGACAGCGGAAGTCTTGTAAAATGTAAAGGTCAAGGTTGAATAACCTGAGTACGTGAACTTGTGGTAATCAAAGTTAATAATGACAAAGATCTAACAAGGATTTTTAGTTCTACAAAAAGTACCTGTTCGCTAATGTACCTGTTCGTCACTATCGCGTTATGCGCCCTAGATGATAATGAAGAGGTGCGACTTATTCGCGTGACTGAAACGACTGTCCTATGACGAGCGCTATTTGCTGACGTCATCCTACGGACTTATATTCTACAGTAGGATTCGACACTAACTACACTTCATCGACTTACAGAAATGCTAAGTACTAATTATATCACAACAGTGTGTACCACCGTTAGTGTAACACCATTAAGGTTTCGTGTGTGTTGCACGTTAGTGTTGGCTTTCTCACAGCTCTAGGCGGAGTGCTTTATAGCGCGGAACATTTTAGCGAACCATCGAGTGGTGGAACCAGCTGGTCGAGTGTTGCACAGAATTCGTGTTGTGAGTGCAGCAATTCCGATGACTGCTCTTCGCTATCCCATCCCGAGATGATGTTCATGTGCTTGTCCTGCCGGATCTCGAGCTACGATAACCGTGCGACCGCCTGACGACTTAGCCGTGCATTGAAATCGCTCGTGTTGAGACCGTTCGCTTTCTCCATGTCGGTTTCAGCCGCAGCAGCGAATCTGATGACACTAACGCATCAGCTCGGGGAGCGGTCATTTCCGACATGCAGTGAATCTGGAAAATGGATGGTACGGCCCTGCGCATTCTCCAGCAGCAGCGGCGATTGCGGGACGGAGATTGGCCAATGGGGGAGGGGCAAGAGGCGGAAGCAACGGTGCGCTGCTGTTAGCGGAGGGGGAAGCTCAGGGGGCGGAGGGGGAGGAGGCGACGGCATTGATAAAGTCCGCCTTCTGATTGGTGGGTTGCTTCCGACTTGTCAACCTTGTAAAAACCGTCAGACATCGGAGATTGACTAATGTTTCCATTCGTGGCTGCAGGTATGGCGACAAGGGATGACAAGAAGAGAGGGTTTGGCCCACCGCCTCCTAAAGACAAGGCTGCTGGCTCAGGCCTTGTCAATCTCACAGGTCACTGATATTGTCATTATTACAGGTTAAAGGGTCAATCTCAGAGGTATCTGATCGAGTTCTATTTCAGACTTACTGAACAGATACTAGGGGCTACATGCCCGGCCTCAATTTTGATCTCCGCTTCTCCAGTCACTCTGCAACTTCCCATGTCTTCTTCACTTCAACCTTTCCCAGTTTTCCCCATGCAAATCACCAGGCCGAGAGGACCTGATGGCTGGACGCCGGGAGTTTGACCTCCCTTTTTCCTCCTCCACGCCTCCCGAAGCCCTGCTGGCTCAGGCTCGGGCCCGAACCAAGGCCCGCACAACTGCTCAGTCTCGGGCTCGGCAAGCTGAAGGGTCGGGAGATGGGGAGAAACTTAGCGATGGGGAGGGGAACAGGCAAGCTGGCAATGAAGTGAGGGAGGTGGATTTGGAAGGGAGTGGCAGCAGCAGCGACACAGTGTCTGCCAGTTCTGGGATCAATGGAAGTGCATTTGAGCATTCTTCACCTACCTCTACTGGTCTTCCATTGGATCTCACGCCAGCTGAAGCAGTGATTTCGGCTGGCATGCTCGCTCTGACGGTGCTGGCTGTGGGGAAAGGCTCAAGAGGCTTCATGTCTGATGATGTCATTTGGCTCTTACAGGTGACATGATTCCTTCTTACTTTGAGCATTATCAGATCATCTACTCCCTTGCAACTTTCAAGCCAGTTTCACCAACTCTTGCCTCCCGCCAGTCTCTTGGTTTCCTGAAGTTTTTTTCAGCCACTCTGCACATTCCATCTGCCCCAGGTTTGGATGGGTATCGCTTGGACTACTCACTGCTCTCTTGGTGCATTCGCTGCATTCATATGCCAACAACCAGGTCTGAGTACAACGTTTATTGCCCATTTGTCGTGTCTTCATAAGCCCTTTAAATCTGAAAATGCATGGTGTCCTTTGTTACAGGCAACCAGCTCCCTGCATCATCTTCCAGCAAGTGGTTTGTCAAGATCTCACTTGCTGGTTTCCTAGCGTTTTCTGATTTCTGGAGAATATGGAGACAACATTAATCTCAGAGTAACGAATTTTAGTAGAATGAGGGGTGGTTGTCAAATTATATACCGTAATCCCCCGTATATAAGACCCGCCGAAATAGTCAGCCCATGGGTGGCATATGCGGGGGATAGCTTATGATATGGCGCATTTTTTAGAGTACCCGCTTTTCTGGGTATGAATTTTACATAACACCCTGCTCGTTTTTCTTGCCTTTAAACAGTATTTGGTCCTTCATTACCAAGGTTCGCTCAGCTGCAAAAAAACGAGCAGGATGAAAATCGCGTCAGGTGCCATTCGCAGCGCTAAGACGGGCAGAAGTGTTAAAATTATATAAGTTATAATTTAATATAGGCTTGGTAGGTTGTTACTGAACCTTTCTGTAGGGGGTACAAACCCCTCCTTGTACTCCCCTCTCTTCCTAATCCAACTCCCTTTCTTCTCGACATTCTCTCTCTTCCTAGATCCGTTTTTCCTCACGCTACTCCATGGCGGCCTTCTTCCTAGTATCCTAGCCAACCTAGCCTCCTAAGTTTAAGAACCTTGAGTCCTAAGTTTCTAAGATGGTATCAGAGCAGGAGATCCTCCCTGCTGGATCGCCTCCTCACGCTTCCGCAATTTACTCCTCACTCTCATTAGCTCGAGCGGCCATGGCGGCCGCGTTTTGCTGCAGTGGCGACGTCGCGCTGCCACTGGCCGCGTCGTGCCGCGACCGGCTCGACGCGCTGCCGTGGCGTCGGGCCGTCGTTCTGCAGTCGCAGCGCCGACGTCCCGCTGCGGCATCGACGCTGCCTCTGCCGTCGCGACGTCGACGTCCTGCTGCAGCGTCGACGGCGCCGTCGGGCCGCAGCCGGTTGCGTCGACGCTTTGCCGTGGCAGCGTCACCTTGCTGCCGTTGCAGCGTCGGCGTGCCGCCACAGCGTCGACGCCGCGCCCTGGCGGCGTCGTCATGCTGCCGCGGCAGCGTGGATGGGCGGCAGCGGGCAGCACGCCGTCGTAACCGCCACCTGCCCGCCCTCCTGCCAGTAAGCGCCGCGCCACTTATGGCGCGTCGCTGAAGACTCGCCTCGCCCCGCCCCCTCCCCTCCCCCCCCCACCTGCACCTGCTTCCCCTGCATCCCCCCCTTTCTTGCTGCAGCCGATGACTGCCATGTGAGGGACCTCTCCACCGCCGAGGAGACAGGACATGCCGCCGAGAGGGCGGGGGCCGCCGCACCAGCCTCTGTCGTTCGAGCCGCCGGCGCCGCCGCTGTTGCCGCAGGCCTGGAGCCGCCGCACACCGCCGCCGCCGCCGCCGTCGTCACTGTCGCTGCTGCCGCCATTGCCGTCTCAAGGGGCCGTGAGACCTACCCTCTTCCGGAGTCGTTGCGGCTCCTGCTGGGAATGGGGGTGCTGGGCTAGGGGGTGTGGGTGTGGGTGTGGGTGTGGGGGTGTGCGTGGGCTTGACACTACCAAGCCTAGGGGGTGTGTTAAATTTATATAAGTTATAATTTAATATAGGCTTGGTAGGTTGTTACTGAACCTTTCTGTAGGGGGTACAAACCCCTCCTTGTACTCCCCTCTCTTCCTAATCCAACTCCCTTTCTTCTCGACATTCTCTCTCTTCCTAGATCCGTTTTTCCTCACGCTACTCCATGGCGGCCTTCTTCCTAGTATCCTAGCCAACCTAGCCTCCTAAGTTTAAGAACCTTGAGTCCTAAGTTTCTAAGAAGAAGAATCAATACAAGTGGCAAAACGAAATCGAAAGACACAAGTGTGGAGAGGATCTCGACCGTCCATCTTATTGTTGAACCACCTCGATCGCGTCAGCAATGGTCGTGACTCTATTCACAGCACTCATACGAGATTGGTCAATGACACCTGGCACTGCTGCTGCATCAATCTCCCGCGTTTTCAGAGGCACCAAACTGACCCAGTCAAAGTGTGCAAATCTCTGTAGCAGATTCCTCGTTAGCAGATGCTCGATGAAGTTCTGGCCTCAGAGTGCCTGTTACAACTCAAATTCATTTTGCATTTTACATAAGACATGGGCGTTTTATTTTTCCAGCCTACTGTTAACACCCATACGTTTTTTTGATGAAATTTTGACAATACCCTAGGGTGTTATATACGGGGGAATACAGTATTATATATTTACTTGTTTAGGCTTGGTAGATGTGCTACATTACTGGATCCTACTTTAGAGGGGACAACCCCTCCTTCTTGTATCTCTTCCTCTTCGTAGTCCACCCTCTTTTCTCTCATAACTTCTCCCTAGCTGAAACCTCTCGCCCACTCATGGCTACCTATTGCCCTATCTTCTTTCAACGAGGTAACATAGCAGGACGTTCCTGCTGCGCCTTATCATGACGCTTCCGCAGCGTACTCTCCCCCCTCCCGTCACTTTCGCGCCGCCGTGGCGGCCATGTCGTGTTGCCATAGCGGCCTTGTCGTGCTGCCGTGGCAGCCGCGACGCGCTGCCGCGGCGTCGACACCATGCCGTGGCGGCGTCGTCGTGCTGCCGTGGCTGCGACGACGCGCCGGCGCATGGGCGGCAGCGGGCCGCACACTGCTTTAGGCGTCAGCCAGCTTGCCCGTACGACAGCCAGCGTGCCAGCCAAGGCGCCTCGCTGAAGCCACACCGCCTCCCCGGCGCCACCCCTCATTCCAGCCGCAGCTGATGATTCCCTTCCCGGTCGTCGCCGGGCCGTGCCACGCCACCGGGTGCCGCGAGCTTTGCAGTCGCCGCCCCCGTCGTCGAAGCCGCCGCTGCCGATGCAGGTGCAGCTGGCTCCGCCGCCACCCCCTCCGCCGCCGCCGCTGTCATCGTCATAGAAGCTGCCGCTGACGCCGTTGCTGCCACGCGCCGGAGGTGTCATCGTTTCACACGAGGGGTAGAAGCCACACCTGCTGCATGACATGGGGGTGCAAGGGTTTGGGTTTGGGGGTGTTTCGTGTTGGGTTGGCTTACGACAACCAAGCCTAGGGGGTGTGTCAAATTATATATTATATATATTTGTTTAGGCTAAGTATATGTGCTACATTACTGGATCCTACTGTAGAGGAGACAGCCCCCCCTTCTTGTATCTCTTCCTTTTCCTAGTCGACCCTCTTTTCTTGCGTAACTTCTCCCTAGCTAAAACCTCTCGCCCACTCTGCTAAGCTAAGAACAAAAGCTAGGCGGCCATAGAAGGCACGAGGGTTTAGCTAGGAGAGAAGTTACGAGAGAAAAGAGGTCGAGAATAGAAGAGAGAGGGATACAAGGAGGGGGGTTGTAACCTCTACAGTACGTTTCAGTAACATCTACCAAGCCTACCAATTATATATCAAAGATATAATTTAACACACCCCCTAGGCTTGGTAGCCGAAAGCACACCACACACACCCCCTGAATCTAGCACCCCCATGTCAACAAATATAGTTGTCTATGCTAGGTACAGTATATTTGTTATAGCCTTATTTAGGTCAGTTCTTAGAGGGTACATTCCCACCTTTGTAGCCCTCAGCCTTCCTCTCATAGTCAACTTTCTCTCGACATTCTATCATGGCATTTAGAGCTAGGTCTCGCCCTCTACTCATGCTTCCGCCCTAGCACACCCTAGCCTAGCGCGCCTCGCCCCTAGTTGTGTGCCTTGTAGATCGTCCCCCTCCCCACCCTCCTCTGCTTGTCGCGTAGCTCGCGTCGGCTAGCGCCAGCCGCCACCAGCTAGTGCCGATCAGCGCCAGCCGCCGCTAGCCCGCACCACATTGGCGCCTTCATTAGTCGTCGATCCCCCCCCCCCCACTCGATCGTAGCTTGTCCCTGACGCCAGCGCCAGCCAACCTGCCAGCTCGCCAGCGCCAGCTCACCTGCGTTAGCCAGCACCAGCTCGCCAGCATTAGCTGGCTAGCTCCTGCCAGCAGTTTGCCGCCAGCGCCAGCTAGCCAGCCCCCAGCTCGTGCCAGCTAGCTGCTAGCCGCCAGCGCCAGCTCGCCAGCGCCAGCACGTCACCGCCAACTTGCCAGCGCCAACTTGCCAGCGCCAACTTGCCAGTGCCAGCAAGCATTCACCAGCCGCCAACTCGCCAGCTACTAGCCGCCAGCTGCTAGCCGCCAGCGCCAACTCGCCAGCTGCTAGCCGCCAGCGCCAGCGCCAGCTCGCCAGCTGCTAGCCGCCAGCGCCAGCGCCAGCTCGCCAGCTGCTAGCCGCCAGCGCTAGCTCGCCAGCGCCCGCCCGCCGCTTACCCGCACTAGTCAGCACCGCCAACTGACTCCACTGCCCGCCAGCTGCCACTGCCAGCGGCGCCTCTCCACTGCAACCACTGCTGCAGCTTGCTTTGCCGCTGCAGCCACTTTCACCCCGCCGTGGCCACTAATGCAGCTGCTGCTGCCAATGCCGCTGCAGCCGCTGCTACCACTGCCACTGCCGCCACTGCCGTTGCCGCCACTTCCCTTGCAGCCGCCGCTGCAGCCACTGCTCTTGCAGTTGCTACTGCCGCTGCTGCCCTTGCAGCTACCACGCTGCCCCCTGCAGCTGCCCCTGCCGCTGCAGCCCACACAATCACTACAGCCGCTGCTGCCACCACTGCCGCGGCTCGCCCGTACCCGCGTAGCCGCCTCCGCTAGCCAGCTCACTGCTGGCCTGCTGCCATCCTCACCTCGCTGCTAGCTAGCTGCCCTCGCTCCCACCGGCTCCTATAGCAGCCGCCCCAGTTGTTCCTGCTTCTGCCGTCACTGTCTTTCCGGCCGCAGCTGCTAGCATGGCGTCGCTCGGCATCTTCGTTCTGCACCTGGATGGGGAGGGGCGGGCAGTCAGTTTTGCCGCCTGGCAGGAGGCAGTTCTCCTTCAGCTCACGAGTCAGCGCGTCGACGACGAGTCTTTAGACGCCCACGTCTCTGGTGAGCTCCCCACTATCCCTCGCCCGGGCGCTCCTGCTCATGACGCGACGTCTGAGCAGCAGGCTGTGCACGCTGCTGCTCGTACTGCCTACTCTATCTTGGCGTCTCGCGACGCCACTGCTCGAGTCGCCATCCTCAGGTGCCTGCCGGTTGCCGAGCACTCCCACTTTGTGGGTGCTGCGTCAGCCCGTGCCCTCTGGCTGGCTATCCTAGCTAGGTACTCCACCCCGTCGTCTGCCACTCTTGGTCGCCTCCTCCTCCCTTTCTTCCACCCTGACCTGACGTTGTTCACCACTATAGCAGACTTAGTCGAGCACCTACGCTCTCTCGAGGCTCGCTGGCGTGCGGCCTGTAC